TATTGTTACGGTTAAAATAACAACTGTGGTGCAACTTGGGCTAAGTTCAAATTGTTAAAAAAAAACTTTTGTAAGTACTTGTAGAGTAACTCTAAGCTTCCGAGTAACTTTTAAAGTTAATAGCGCTTGTATCTAATTTTTTTTTTATTTGCTACAATAATGTCGTAGTCTTGCATTGGGGGTTGAAAATGTAAAATGGTATGAAAAACTCTGACTTACGCGTTTTGTGAAAGAATAATGCTTCTTATATCTTAATTATTGTAATTGATAGTTAAAGGTGATACAAACAAACTTCTGGTAAGTTACCTACTTGCATAGGTGCTGACGCTATGCACAAAAAAGTTAACAAAAATTACTTATTTCATTAAAGTTTTGGAACTCATAAAGTTGCTAACGAACGAGTCCAGGGGAAAATACTGTACGAAATGAATATTTTTTACATAGTCCTTTTGGACATCGACAGTTATTATTTTTCAGTGCATTAAAGCTACTACATCTCCTTCCACTGTGGTATTTCGTAATGAGATAATGTTTCCGTAAGGGCAGGGCTATAAGCAGGTACAGTAAGAAATACTTTTATCGCAACTCGTAAAGTAAAACAAGTTTTATATTACCCAAAAAATTTAAGTACCAGTTCAAAGAAGGGTATTTGAATTTTGAAGGAGAGCCAAGTCAATTGAAGATATTGGTATACCTAGGTAATAAAATTAATTTCTTTAACTTACGTTTAATAAATTGTAATACTTGAAAGATTTTTAAATCTACTAATCTTTTAAGAGTATGTCCCGCCATTCCAGCCTAAAGAAATTTCCCTGTAGGCGCGCTATATCCTAGAAATAATTTAATTTATTACTTGGTACGAGTAGGTAGGTACTTCAATTTTAAAAACCTATTACTGAAAGTCTTTGAGTAGTACAGACTTACAGAGGTAATGTTTGTAAGTAGGTACTTTCCATTTACGACTAATCTTTTCACACTCCATTCAATCTGCACGCACTTTGAAATGAGATAGAACATAAGGCTGTAGCTACACGCACGATGCTGGTTGCTGTATGTAACTCATACATTATTTTATAACACAAGGCAAAACGAAAAACATAAGAAATTTTAATATAAGGAAAGTTCCAAAAAACAAATCAATAATAATGTAGTCTAATATCATTGGACACAGGCCACAGATCAGAGTTCTCAAATACTGTGTCAAGTCGTCTTCAGTCACGCCTAGTAGAAAACTACTTATCATCATCATCATCATCATCATCATCATTTCAGCCACAGGAAGTCCACTGCTGAACATAGGTCTCCCATAATGATTTTCACATCGCCCGGTCGGTAGCTGCCTGCACCCAGCCAGTGCCTATTGTACCTACTTATTGTACTGCCTGAGGCTGCTTCTCCGATGGATGGTATGGCAGCCAATACATTATACTTCATACAGTGTGGCCGCACCCTTAGCACATAACAGCTTTCAGCAATTATCGTGTGAAGATTGTTGTAGAGGAGACGAAAACGCAAAGCAATTTCGCTAAGAGGTTTAATCTAAATAGTCTAACGTAAATTGGTTGGTTAAATAAGTAGGTAGGTATGTGATGTAGCCAGGGACGTGTTGAATCAAAGATTGCCTATTTGAATACCTACTTAGGCTGGGTTACAACATCTTACTTTAACTTTAACAAACGTCAAAAATCTGTCAGACTTCATACAAAAAGCAAAAAGCACCAGTTATCAGTATCATTCAGTTACCATTAAAGTTAGGTTAGTTAGGTGGTGTAACATAGCCTTGGAGGATGACGACATCAATTGACGACCCACAAAAGTGAATTTGTTAGTCGTGCGCATGTATCTTGATTAACTCATCTACTGAGATGTTTTCTAGCTTACCGTTTAATTGTAGGACATTTAGAAGTTGAACTGACGATCTCATAATGGTAGCAGGAAGGCCGGAAATTATGAAAATCATTGGGAGAGGCCTATGTTCAGCCGTGGACGTCCTATATGGCTGAAAATTAAATGATGAAGATGACCGTTTATTTCCCATAATATGGGTTTGAATAAACGCTGATCTCCTAAGCGTCTATCTATGTATTTCCGTTATTTTTATGCTCACTTTGCATGGGAGAACTTTTAACTAGGCTACATTTCATTAATAGCATTGAATTTAGTCATTTGTTACGTAACATAGAATTTCCTAGTTTCTAAGACACTTAGGTAGGTAGGTTATAATAATAACTGTCTGTAGACGAAGTTCCAAGTTATTCCTTGTTCGAACGTTCTTGCACGAGCTCGGTCACTATGTGGCAACAAACTGAGCTAAGAACCGAATTTAAACAAGAACATTACAGAACTTAGCCAATTACCTTACTTGGTAAGCACTAAGATGTGTACAGACAGACGGCAGCACGACATTTTAGTTGCAAAATAACATTTAATACAACCGCATAGATGCCATACATACCGCATACATGTCATGTACCGGAAAACGCAGCGTGGGACGTCCACCCACAAGGTGGACCGACGACCTGATAAAGGTAGCAGGAAGGCGCTGGATGCAGGCCGCTACCAACCGTGCGATGTGGAAGTCATTGGGGGAGGTCTATGTTCAGCAGTGGACTTCCTGTGGCTGAAATGATGATGATGACGATAATTAAACCGGTGCTTTTTGTATGGAGTTTGACAGCTTTTTGACGTTTGTCAAAGTCAAAGTAAGATGGTGCAACCACCCTTAGACGTGTATAGACGGCAGCACGACATTTTAGTTGCAAAATAACACTTATTGCAACCGCATAGATGTCATAGTAAATTCAGCTTGAGGTCCACGCCACGGCCACACCAAAGTTCTAAGTCGCTGGCTGGAAAACAAAAGAATGATAAAAATAAATGTTTGGAAAAAAAGGAAAGGACGAATATGCGAGAGTCAGGCTTCCCCATTCTTCTGGTCACCACGAACAAAAATCATCAAGATTGAAAGACTGGTAGGTAGGTACCTATACCTACCTACTTACCTACCTATTTACCATCCTATTATGCACAGTAGCCTAGCTTTTTTTTTGATGGACTGTCCCGCTGAAGCGCGTAGGAGTAGCCTAGCTGTTTATTAAAAGTAAAATTCTTAATGATCTTTATGAATGCACAGATAAGTAAAGTTAGGCACATCACATCCCAGTTAAAAAAAGTAAAATCTTCTAGCAGTTAAAAAACAAAACATCCATTCCCAAATAACCAGTAGCCGAACCCAGTGTTTGTTCTCAGATCCCATTAGATCTAATAATTGCGTTTCGAGTGGTGGGCAAAGTCTTTTTGTTACCCTTCGAGTGGGTGTAGAAATTCATTGTTTGCCCGCCCAGAGTGAGGGCCCATTTTGTGAAATCATAAAAAAGTAAAGTCAGACAATAGGTTCCGAATTCGAATGTTTTGTTTAAAATTTTTAACACTGGCCGCATCCTAATATTGTCAGCAATGTCACCGATTTCTAGAACACAGATTAAAAAATAACCAAAATAAAAAAATAAACAATTTTTGAATTTTGTTAACATTTGAAGGGGGTTTTTTTTTTACTTTCGTGCCGCATCTTAACCTATTTATCTTAGAAAACGATTTCTAAACAGATTTTATCGGGAACTGAATCGGGATTCAGGCACCACGTGACCTCTCTTATCCCACCCTGTGATTCCACCATTGCGTCAGTCAATAGGATAATAGGATTGTCACTAAGAGCAACAAGAATAGTTAGAAATAGGTACCTAAAATTTAGGCATAAAACCAATCCATTCATCCTAAAAAAGCGCGCGCTACACCTAGGGTTGCCAACTCTTGAAAGGACCAACCCGGGAGAATTGTGGGGGGGGGGGGGGCTTGCTCCATAGTTGCTCCATCACGGTGAATACGCGCTCGAATGAAGCATTAATAGAGACAGGAATGGAAATAACAAACGTGACCATTTTTTTAATTCAGGACAGGGATTTCTGTCTTTCGATTTCGTAAAGAAGTCAACCCAGCGTAAATCCACTCGATTTTCATCAATAAGATGTGGTTGCACCTCACGCAAAAGTCCAACCTCATCGTACAACTTGTCACTATCTATGTCAATATTTAATAATTCCTGGAGTTTAGTAATGCTGGTCCATGTGATTGGTTCTTTTAAAGATAAAATTTATAAACAAGTACGAGCAGCAATGGATGCATTTAATTTTTAGAAATACCGGAGAAAATAGTGCTCTCCGGGAGGTCGGGAGATTAACTATTATTTCCGGAGTCTCCCGGGCAATCCGGGAGGGTTGGGAACCCTAGCTACACCTATTGTTTTTTTGCCTAAGCAACCCCACTTGGCCGAGTATACACGTGCTACTGGGTTTTTTATAGTCACCTCTAATGAACCGTATGCTCGGAAACCCTGGGCAGGATATCCTGTTTGAAAATAAAAGAGCTACCCCGCACCTTAGCAATACTAAAATAAACACAAATGACTTTGACCTTTAGCGGCATCGCACAAAGTCTAAAATATCTTGGTTTTAAAAGCAGCCGCAAACTAGATTAATGCATGTGTGCGTGCAAGGCCTTTATTTCAGACTTCGTGAATTTCCGATTCCTCTTATTGCTTTTTTAAGTGTTCCGTTATTTTTAGATCATCAACCCTCCAACTTCAATCATCATTTTCAATTTATTGTAGTAATGCAAGAAAATTAACAATAGCACAGTTGGTAGGGTATCAAACTGAGAAAATAATGTAAATCTAATTTAAGTGTTTAGCAGGTAGATAAATTACACTTTTAATGAAATAAATAAAGTATCGTCGCGCATTTTTACCCTATCGACTCCAAAACCAACCACCACCATTCGAGATCGCTCGAACTCGATTGTATTTTCTCTCGCTTACACATTCATTCACAGAGCGTTCTCTCTTTCCCTCGCACTCGTTCATCGACCGAACCGTTCGTACAGTCTCGCTCGCCGGCCGGTCAATTGGAGAGAGAACTCATTCAATTTTTCAATCAGTCTTGCGCGAGCCACTCACGGAGTGAACGTCGCTTTGCGCATGCGTTATAACCTCAACGAACTGTCAATTTCCGAGCGAACGTAAATAAACAAGTGACTTTTAAGTGCCAAACCTTCTTTTGTTTTACTTAATTTCGACAAGTAAAGAGGATTTAGTGACTATAATATCGTGTGATAATTTGTGCAACGAATTTGCCAGTGAGTAATATTCGTATTTTTGTTTTGTATTTTTTCGCATGCCATGCCGTCGGCCGGCACTGATTTTATCCGACAGGATCTCTTATTTATTTTTTAGGATATTCATTATCTTCGTGATTAGTGCTGCATTGTTTCCAAAGGCTTTTGTCTTAGAATAATTAAGTTGGTAACTGAACAATCGTCCAAAATACACGAAGGAAGGATTAAGTAGTCTAAGAGGATTTGTACGTAAGATGTCTAACATCCTTGCACAATCTTACGCAAATACAATGACTAAAAGAAGAAAAACCTTGAAACAATTTAAAAAACCAGGTAGGTAGGTAGCGTAATGTGCAATAATTTTATCTAATGCCAAGATCTCCGGTCATTGAACTTTTACCATAGAAGAGAAAAGCTGCTGATGTTACTGTGTTTACCTACTTACATAATTAGAAATTAATCTGTGTTTAATTTAGTTTTTCAATTTAGGAACTCTGTTTATTTTTAGAAATTATTCCTTTTTATTTTTAGTGGCATGCCCTTTTCCGACCGTGCGTGTACCTATATACGGCAGGGATTATGGAATCGAATTTGTGTAAGTACCTAGGTAGGTAATAAGTAGCTGTACTCGTAGGTACATACATAGTTGGGAGTAGTCTCCTTCCTGCTTGAAATATCTTGTTATAATTTGACCCCCGCCCCGCCTCAAATACAAGGCACTCTAAGTAGATTCTTTGAATTTCAATCATAGGTTTAATTTAAGTAAAGAAGTAGGTAGGTAGTATGCAGGTACCTACCTACCTAGGTAATACCTAACAGCTGTTCCGACTTTATTAACTTAAGTTCTACGTTTCATTAGACGGCTTTAGCTAAAAAGATTCCATATAAACCTTTAACTAGCTATACCTACTTCTTACCTAAGTTATGAATAAGCCTACTGAAAGAACAAAGCCACTTGAACCCAGCAAGATAAGATAAACTGTGACATCCTGCCTGTATGCCGCGGCCCTAATTATTAACAATTATCAATAGCCCATCACGAAATTGTAGACTTCAATATGTACCTACCTAGGTACCTACCTACATCCTAGGTACATTGTAGACTGGTAGGTAGGTAATTATAACTTACATCTGCTGAACATGTCATCCGTTTCCAATGCAAACCTATCTATGAAGGAAGAAATTCATTCAAGGACCTTTATGCCCGTCTTCTATTGTTGGGCTGGACTGTTGAAATCCTCGCGTTAGGCTTCTTTAATGCTATAGGATAAGCTGACCTTAATAGCTGTACGTTGAGGCACTTCTTCTTGTCGTGTCGACAACAAACCTACACAGTGTCAGCCCAAAACTCCGCCACAAGATTGGCGTTGTCTTGTCAGTAGCCTTCATTAAATCTTCCTGCGTGCAGTTTTTTTGACCACGCTACACAGGGCAAGGCACATCATGTGCTTCGTCGACTGGGGAACAAAACCACACTAGCACTCCAAGAATCCCCACATGTAGGTACTTACAGATTGTCTTTACTACGGCCGACGGCCTTAAGCCATGGGGGGACATTGAGGCACGGGACCACGGGACGATTCTTTACCCTCATCCTAGATAGGATCTCTAGGACTCCTGTATCCTGGGATCGAGTTAGAAAAAAACCTGAAACTATAACTCTTCTACCTATACGTTGTAATTTACTATGCACAAAGGAACGTGATAAAAAATCGTCTTATTATTCTATTATCGCGTCAATTCAACGTAGCCACTGAGTTTATTGTTCAATGAATATAAATAGGTAGGCACTTAAGTAAACTAGATATCGTTGTTGTGACATCATTCGTTTTTAATCAAGGACTTCTTTAAGTCCAATCAAAACTCTAAGGACATCATGGAAATTCGTCTAGAGTTCTAGACGAACGCTCAACAAAAATAAGTTTTCATTTCAATAATTTTTATTTCTTACTCAATGAATAACCCTGAAATAAATCTACATAGCTCTGACCTCAACCAAACTGGGCTGGCAACGCTAACAAGATAAGTTAAAAGCTTTTTTCATTTGAGAATCAATTAACTTAGCCAAAGACAATGGCCATAAACAACTACGAAAAGCAACGCTATTTTTTTAAGTCGTCATGCCTAGAGTCTATGACTCATTTCGTTGGAAGTGCGACTCACTCGCGGATTTTATTACCTATGGGAAAATACCTGTTGTATATAGCTTGTTAGGTAAGTTCACTGGATCTCAAACTTCATGATTCTTATGCATAGTTTTAGATTTGCAGCTGGTTGGCCTTTGAATATCTTCATGAGTGCGTCAAATAGGTTCTATTTATATACAAAATTAGTAGTTACTTGGAACTCTGGAAACCCGTTTTATTCAACTTTATTTTAGCTTTTGACTACGCTATTTATCGGATTCAGAACAGATTCTTTATCCTTTATCTTGTCAGTTTGAGAAACGACGAGCTGCACTGTATCAATTTAATTCATATCAACAATTTTGTGATTACAATTTGATAAGTACTATTTATTCCAAAAGGAACTTGTACCTATTTGGTGGAGGTGATTTAAGTTTGAAGCTCAAGCCAATTTTATTATTTTTCCATAGAAGGAAAGGAACATAAAGGTAAAGGTATTCTTATTCAGACAAAGTCAATTGACAAAAAGATGGTTATGTCACATTGAAATGTAGTGCGGCTTATTGTTATCCTTTTAACTGATGAATAACAGGTTCAAATCTATTCTGCAAGTGTCAGGTGCTCGGCGCACAGCAAAGGTTCGTTTCAGCAAACATTTGTGTTTGCGTTTCCTTTTCTTGTTACGTTTGCAGTACGTATTTTAGCTTTTTGAGACATTGAAATTGCAAAACACACTATACCTCAACTCCATTTGGGCAAGATCGGAAAAATTCGGTAAGTACAAAAGGGTGTCATTTTATGCCTAATAATTAATAATTGACAAGGATTAAATTCTCTCATTCATGAAAATATATTGGTCTACACGTAATACCATAATTATGCTACCTATTTGATGCACACTTCATGGTTTTGTAGACAAAATCACAAATAATATATGAATATGCATATTTATGTCGGTTGACGCAAAGTTATTTCAAAGAGCATTAATTTCCACTCCATAACATAAACCACTTCCATTAAAAATTGGTTTACATTAGGAGCATCTATGTTAAACACGAAATCAGATCAAACAGAACCTTTCCCAGGGAATGTATTTGGAAATATGCCGTGGGAGTGGCTTGAAGTGCTAATGGCAACAAGGATCTGTGGCGACGCAGCGAGAATATTTGTATCCGTAGTTCCAATCTAACGAGCAAGCAAGACGGCTATTATAGCTCTCTCATTAGCAAAACAAAGACAACTATACTACCGTCTATGGCACTGATTCAAATGCAATGAAAACGAGAATATTCGAATATTATTCCGATCGTAAAGGAATTTCCAAGATAAGGTTTAATGATGCAACCGATAAACAAGAACAAAAACGCTTACGACGATTATTTCGTAATGCTGCTCCTGTAATCAACGTTATTTAGATTTTATTGTGGGCCGTAAAAGCTCGTTTTATTGGAGTAACTTCTGAAACACCTTTGTTGCCTATTTTGGATCGCATTAAGCTATTTACAGCAAACTTATAAAGTTAATAGCCGAGAGCGCGGGGTCAGGGAGGTGAAATTGCAAACATTCCGGCTCGACCTCTATTAAGTGTGGCTCTACTAAATTGGAAGCTGAGAAAAAACCCAGACGTTAATGTTGTAAAATATCAAGGGACTAGGCCCTTCTGTCCGCGAAGGGCTATAATTGCTGATTCCCGTCGACCACTCTGAATAGCCACTTTTGTGCCAACGTATTTTAATTCTACACTGGGACCTATTTCTCACGACTATACGAGTATAGAAAATTAGATGTAGGTATCCAAGGTCTGCGTTGCTCTGTGCTTACTATTAAACGTATATGACTTAGCCCTTCAATGTTGAAAGGGGAATTTGCCCAAGTAATTTGCTTTAAGCCGCAGAATAATGTAACGCATATCAACAACTGCTTGTTGATTGTGCAATTACTCGTAAACATACCGTGGGCGCAAAACGCTATGAAGAAATAGACATATTTGGTAGTAACCGACATAATGTTTTGAGTGTTGTTCTTATTGGAGAGTCTAGTGAGTATACGCTTCATAAATTAGCAAGTAATGAACAGCATTACTGTCAGACGGCACTGAGTCATACTCGCACAGTTTATTTCATAACATCTTGAGTTAAGAAGACATGTCGTGACCGGTCGATTCATGTTGTGAACTTGACTGATATTAGCTATTTGTTAGCCGGGTGTCGTCTGTATACAACTGTATGGATTAAAATAATTAGCTTAATTAGGCGTTGACGTACCACTGGGAACCGAAATTGATGACGGCTTTAGAGGAAGTAACTGGCCGTGTGAATATTTGAACGAGTTTAGAAAAATGTTCAAGCAGATGTTCAAAACAAGTTTGTTTCCTCCAAAATCTTTAGTGAATTTTAAGATCATGTGGTTGCATTTATCTTCTGATGTTGCCGTAAACGAAAGAATTGCTGCTGTAATTACTCACGCGATTTTAAGATTACATTAGCAACAGAAACGACCGAAATTTCTCCAGCTGAATACTCACGTACATGAGTCGAAGTCAAGAGCAATTTCGATCCCGTGCGAGTTTTAATCTTTTTAGAAGGAAGCTGGTTATTAACAGGTTTCTTTATCTGAATGACTGTACACTGATTCAACGACCGACGATTCGTAAGTGAAACTAATTTTGTATCAGTTGCAGGTATACAATCGGTTAGCAAATAGATGAGGTCAAAGATCTCTGACTCTCACTTTATTTATGTTTTCTTTATCAAACTGTGTTAATTCAATTTACGCTACTTTATAACGCTCGTATTACTGGTGACTAATTCATGAAATTTCTTTTCTGTGTTTTACTTTCGTACTCACTTTACTTTTGTCTTTGTGTTCATTAATATTTTCAATGCCAATGGAACA